TTATAATTTTCGTAAATTTTTATATTTTTTATAATTATTGAAAATTTTGATGATTTTCATAAGCTTTTATAATTTTTGCGATATTTGAGAATTGTTACGATTTTTGTGATTTTAAAAAAAAATATCATTTTAATGATTTTTGTGATTTTTGTAATTTTTTATAGTTTTTGTGATTTTTAAAATTTTTACGATTTTCCAAATTTTGATGATTTTTGAAAATTTTTATGATTTTTGTAATTGTGTATTTTTTTTTTTCTAAATTTTTATTTGTGTGAATTTTTGTGATATTTGTAATCTTTGATGATTTTTGTAAATTTTCATGATTTTCGTGACTTTCGTAAATTTTTATGATTTTTGTGATTTTCGTAAATTTTCATGATTTTTATAATTTTCGTAAATTTTTATAACTTTTATAATTTTCGTAAATTTTTATAACTTTTATAATTATTGGAAATTTTGATGATTTTTATAAGCTTTTATAATTTTTGCGATATTTGAGAATTGTTATGATTTTTGTGATTTAAAAAAAAAAAAAAATTTTAATGATTTTTGTGATTTTTGTAATTTTTTATAGTTTTTGTGATTTTGAAAATTTTTACGATTTTCCAAATTTTGACGAATTTTGAAAATTTTTATAATTTTTGTAATTATGTATTTTTTTTTTTTTTTCTAAATTTTTGTGTGTGTGTGTGTGATTTTTGTAATGATTTTCATAATTTTTTAAAATGTTTATTGTTTATAAATTTTTATGATTTTTGAAATTTTCATGACTTTTGTGATTTTTGTAAAATTTTATGATTTTCATGATTTTTGTAATTTTTTCGAATTTTTGTAATTTTCTAAATTTTCATAATTTCAAAAATTACAAAAATCAAGAAAATCATGAAAATTTCAAAAATCATAAAAAATTACAAAAAAAAAATATAAAAAAAAAATATAATAATCTTAGAAAATTACCGCCGGGAAAAATTTTCTAAGAAAAAAAACGCCAAAAACGGAAGAAAATTAAAGCTGGAAAAAAAATTTCTCAAAAAAAAGACGCCAAAAAAACAAATTTAAGAAAATTACAAAAATTCGAAAAAACTACAAAAATCATGAAAATCATAAAAATTTACAAAAATCATGAAAATGTCAAAAATTATAAAAATTTATAAAAATCACGAAAAACATAAAAAATTAAAAAAATAAAATAAGAATAATTAAAAAAAAATAATCTAAGAAAATTAACGCCGGAAAATAATCTTTTTGAGCGACGCCTATAATTTTTCAAATTTCGATCTTCCCGAGTGACGCCTGTAAACGTCCAAATTTTAAAAATTTCAATTGAATCAAATTTTTCTGTTCAGAATTTTTTTTTTTGTCTCAATTTTTTTGTTGAAATTTTTTCGCTCAGAAATTTTTATTGATTTTGATTTTTTTTCGAGAATTTTTATTTTATTTTTTTTTTAAAGATTTTAATTTTAATTTTTTTTTCCGAAAAAAATTTTTGATTTTTTTTCTGAAAACTTTTTTTTGAGAATGTTCGAGATTTTTTTTACGATTTTCATAAATTTTTATAATTTTCCAAATTTTTATTTGTGTAGATTTTTGTGATTTTCGTGATTTTTATGATTTTTGTAAATTTTTACGATTTTTGTGATTTTTGTAATTTTTTCGAATTTTGTATCTTTTATAATTTCCTTAAATTTTTATGATTTTTGTAAATTTTTATGATTTTTGAAATTTTCATGATTTTTGCGATTTTTGTAAATTTTTATAATTTTCTTGATTTTTGTAATTTTTGTATCTTGTAATTTCCTTAAATTTTTATGATTTTTATAATTTATGAAATTTTCATAATTTTTGTAATTTTCTTAAATTTTCGTGATTTTTGTAAATTTTTATGATTTTCGTGATTTATCTGATTTTTGTAAATTTTTTTGTGATTTTTGTAAATTTTTATGATTTTCTTGATTTTTGTAATTTTTGTATCTTGTAATTTCCTTAAATTTTTATGATTTTTATAATTTATGAAATTTTCATAATTTTTGTAATTTTCTTAAATTTTCGTGATTTTTGTAAATTTTTATGATTTTCGTGATTTTTCTGATTTTTGTAAATTTTTATGATTTTTCTGATTTTTGTAAATTTTTATGATTTTCGTGATTCTTTCAAATTTTTGTATCTTCTGTAATTTCCTTAAATTTTTGAAATTTTTATGATTTTTCTCATTTTTGTAATTTTTTATGACTTTTGTGATTTTTGTAATTTTTTCGAATTTTTGTACCTTTTGTTATTTTGAAATTTTTATGATTTTTGTGAATTTTTATGATTTTCATGATTTTTATAATTTTTTAAAATTTTTATTGTTTATAAATTTTTATGATTTTTGAAATTTTCATGACTTTTGTGATTTTTGTAAAATTTTATGATTTTCATGATTTTTGTAATTTTTTCGAATTTTTGTAATTTTCTAAATTTTCATAATTTCAAAAATTACAAAAATCAAGAAAATCATGAAAATTTCAAAAATCATAAAAATTTACAAAAATCATAAAAATTTCAAAAATTTTAAAAATTCACAAAAATCATAAAAAATTACAAAAAAAAATTATAAAAGAAAAAAATATAATAATCTAAGAAAATTACCGCCGGGAAAAATTTTCTAAGAAAAAAAACGCCAAAAACGGAAGAAAATTAAAGCTGGAAAAAAAATTTCTCAAAAAAAAGACGCCAAAAAAACAAATTTAAGAAAATTACAAAAATTCGAAAAAACTACAAAAATCATGAAAATCATAAAAATTTACAAAAATCATGAAAATGTCAAAAATTATAAAAATTTATAAAAATCACGAAAAACATAAAAAATTAAAAAAATAAAATAAGAATAATTAAAAAAAAAATAATCTAAGAAAATTAACGCCGGAAAATAATCTTTTTGAGCGACGCCTATAATTTTTCAAATTTCGATCTTCCCGAGTGACGCCTGTAAACGTCCAAATTTTAAAAATTTCAATTGAATCAAATTTTTCTGTTCAGAAATTTTTTTTTTGTCTCATAATTTTTTTGTTGAAATTTTTTCGCTCAGAAATTTTTATTGATTTTGATTTTTTTTCGAGAATTTTTATTTTATTTTTTTTTTAAAGATTTTAATTTTAATTTTTTTTTCCGAAAAAAATTTTTGATTTTTTTTCTGAAAACTTTTTTTTGAGAATGTTCGAGTTTTTTTTTACGATTTCCATAAATTTTTATAATTTTCCAAATTTTTATTTGTGTAGATTTTTGTGATTTTCGTGATTTTTATGATTTTTGTAAATTTTTACGATTTTTGTGATTTTTGTAATTTTTTCGAATTTTGTATCTTTTGTAATTTTCTTAAATTTTCGTGATTTTTGTAAATTTTTATGATTTTCGTGATTTTTCTGATTTTTGTAAATTTTAATGATTTTCGTGATTTTTCTGATTTTTGTAAATTTTTATAATTTTCGTGATTCTTTCAAATTTTTGTATCTTCTGTAATTTCCTTAAATTTTTGAAATTTTTATGATTTTTCTCATTTTTGTAATTTTTTATGATTTTTGTGATTTTTGTAATTTTTTCGAATTTTTGTACCTTTTGTTATTTTGAAATTTTTATGATTTTTGTGAATTTTTATGATTTTCATGATTTTTATAATTTTTTAAAATTTTTATTGTTTATAAATTTTTATGATTTTTGAAATTTTCATGACTTTTGTGATTTTTGTAAAATTTTATGATTTTCATGATTTTTGTAATTTTTTCGAATTTTTGTAATTTTCTAAATTTTCATAATTTCAAAAATTACAAAAATCAAGAAAATCATGAAAATTTCAAAAATCATAAAAATTTACAAAAATCATAACAATTTCAATAATTATAAAAATTCACAAAAATCATAAAAAATTACAAAAAAAAATTATAAAAGAAAAAAATATAATAATCTAAGAAAATTACCGCCGGGAAAAATTTTCTAAGAAAAAAAACGCCAAAAACGGAAGAAAATTAAAGCTGGAAAAAAAATTTCTGAAAAAAAAGACGCCAAAAAAAAAAATTTAAGATCATTACAAAAATTCGAAAAAATTACAAAAATCATGAAAATCATAAAAATTTACAAAAATCACAAAAATCATGAAAATGTCAAAAATTATAAAAATTTATAAAAATCACGAAAAACATAAAAAAATAAAATTGTAAAAGAGAAAAGAATAATTATTAAAAATTAAAAAAAAAAAAATTAAAATTAAAAAAAAAAATAATCTGAGAAAATTTGCGATATTTGAGAATTGTTACGATTTTTGTGATTTTACAAAAAAATATCATTTTAATGATTTTTGTAATTTTTTATAGTTTTTGTGATTTTGAAAATTTTTACGATTTTCCAAATTTTGACGAATTTTGAAAATTTTTATAATTTTTGTAATTATGTACTTTTTTTTTTCTAAATTTTTATTTGTGTGAATTTTTGTGATATTTGTAATCTTTGATGATTTTTGTAAATTTTCCTGATTTTCGTGACTTTCGTAAATTTTTATGATTTTTGTGATTTTCGTAAATTTTCGTAGAAAATGTATGTAATTACAAAAAAAAATAGAAATACGATGATCACAAAGAAAATATAAAAAATCTTAGATAACACGAAAAATATAAAAAAATTTTGGAATTGCGAAAAATATGAAAATTGCGAAAAAAATACATACGATATGTAACTACCAAAAACCGCAAAAATCATAAAAAATACAAAAATTAACGAAAAATCCAAAAAAAATGCGATAATTGTAAAGAAATAGAAATACGATGATTACAAAGAAAATACAAAAAATCGTAAAAACCTGAAAAACATGAAAATTTACGAAAATTACGATGATTAAAAAAAAGAAATACAAAAAACATATTCAAAAAAATAAATAAAAATTTAATGAGTTTTTTTCAACAGTTTTCAGTTTTAAATCAATTAATTTACAGTTACAGTCAAAAGGTAAGTGAGAAAAATTTATTGAAAAACAAGCTTTTGAGGCTTTATTTAGGGAATTTTTGATTTTAACATCGTTAATAATTAATTATTTAATGGGTTTTCCATTAAATTACAAGTAAAATCTCATTTTAAATGTTTTTTTTTTGGAAATTTGATGTAGCAACACCGCTTGTGGCTAACTTCAATCAAGTAGGTCTTGTAATAAGTGTCATATGTCATTTTTGACAGTCGGCTATTTTTAATTGATGTGTTTACATTTTTATTCAGTTTTTTCTTGGATTTTTCGATTTTTCAGGCCGGGAAAACTGATTTAAATTACGAGACTTTCAATTTCTTTCATTTTCTGCCAAAAATTACCAGTTTTCCAATGGGGTAAGTGACGAAAACTCAAGTTTTATCAAGTAAGCTTTGGAATGTTATTTTGGCTGGTTTTTCTTTAGATTTTCCACTTTTCCAGGCAGTTTTTGAGCGGGAAAACTGATTTAAAGTACGAGGCTTTGGGTTTTCTTAATTTTTTAGCCCAAATTTCTAGTTTTAAATGCCTTAAGTAGCAAAATTTCGAGGGGTGTTTAACTGGTCGAAATTTGTGTAAAAGTTGGTCAAAATCCCAGAAAATCTCAAAAAAAATTTAAAATCCTTGGAAATTTAACAAAATTCCACAAAATCCTGCAAAATCTCATAAAATCATTAATATTCCTAAATAATATTTTCTTTGAAATTTACAAAAATCCTTTGGAATCCCCACCAAAAATCCATTAAAACTCTAAAAATCCTTAAGAATTTCTAGAAACCTTTCTAATTTCCCTTAAATACTTCAAAATCATTTAAAATTTTGTAAAGACCCTTAAAATCCTTGAAATCCTACATAAACAATGAAGATTTAAAATCTATGTAAAAATTGTGGGTCCGATTTTTCAAAATAAAAATTTGGCAACCCTGGATATACGTCAGCATAACAGGTATATAAATAATGATAGTGACCTTTTTAAAAAGGACAGTAGATCAGTAAATATTTTGCAATGTTGCCAACTTAACAAATTTGAACAGTTTTTGACAAATAACTGTCAACAGATCTGAGTGTTTTTCAATTTATTGGATGAGGCAAATTTTTATGTCGATGTATGGTAATTTATTGGCTAACTATCAAAAGCATGTTTTCCTTTTTTTCTAAAAAGATGGAGTGAAAATCGCGCAGGGGGTTCTAGTACAATATACGAGCTCCCGTTTAAAAGACAACAAAAAAAAATAAATACACTAAAGGAAAAATAATAATTACAATATTATTTGGTAAATTAGGCGTAATTAATTATATACAAAATTTATTAAGGCTTAGTTTTTTTAATCGCCTGTTAAGTTTGACTCTGTACCAGGCTGATTAAAAAACTACTGACCCTTATATTAATAGGAATAAATAAAATTGTTAAATCTAGATGAAAGAAACAAATGAATTTTTTATATGTAACAAAACCTTAATGGAGCGTTTTTAAAAGCTATTTTTCGATTATTATGTATTTATCAATGAACATTCATTACAACGTAGGCTTTTTTTGTCCGTAAGTATAAAAAATTCCTTACAAGATAAAGATGGATGATTATAACGTACAGATGAATGAAAAATGGGGAAGTTTCAATAATATCGGTAAAGTAGATGTCTGTAGTTTTGCAAGTTTTGCACATACGAATTTTTGCTTTTACGATTTTGAATTATTGTTCATGTGATTTTATATGGGTTTTTGATATGAAAATTTGTAAAACCATAGACATTCTTATCAGTTCAAGATGGCGTCACATAAATAGAATTCTATTTATTGAGTGACCAATTTTTGATTCTATTTTCGAAAAGGTTCAATACTTACAAATAACTTTTGTCGCAAAGTGTAAAAACTATACAAAAAAAAAAACGTGGGGTAAGTAGGTTTTGGTTTTTTTTTTTCCTTACTTACTTTAGGTTATGGTAAGACGATTACCTCCTATTCAGTTCTGTTTTGATTGCTGAAAAAGAGGAAAACAATAATTATTAACCTGAACTAGAAAGGGAAAGGTATCTCCCCCTATACAGCTATTTTTAGACACAATGAGATGGTTTAAAATCCACCTTGGATTAAGAGAACTTTGATATACAGTAAAACTTGTATCAAGAATGATTTAACTTTATTCTGTTTCTCAGGGTGATATTGAAATACTGGCCCTTAAATTTCTGAGCTTAAGTGCTTTGAAGAATAAAATTTAAAAAATTGTTATAAGGATTAGACACTTCACTTACCATCTATAATATCCAGCTTCATCTTGGCAATTTCCTTTTTCACCTCCTTAACAATCTCACTTTTCAGACTCTCCATCTCCGTCGGTCCCAGGGCCATCGCCACCTCGGACAAACCGTTCACCTTCAGAATCGTCTCCTCCGAAGCGGACCCGAACCGTTTCCGAACGCTTTTCGGTGACTCAGCGTAATTATTCGACTTGTTGCTCGGCAACGTGTTGGTTTTCTCCCACATCAGCGCCGCTTTTTTGTCCTCCTCCTCTTTGTCGGGCACCTTTTTTTCGACGGCGGCGCGACGTCGCGCCAACGTTTTGGCCATTTCGTCCATCATCGAGGCCATGCTGTTGCCGCCTCCGCGGCCTATTGTGCCGTAGTTGCTGCTGCCGCCGCTGCTCGTTGATGAACCACTGTTTTCTGTTGGTTGACCCGAATTCTGGAACAATGATATTAAATTTAGAATCTTTCTGTGTAGCTTTAATAGTTATTCAACAAATAAGTATAATTATTAATAAATGAAAATTAAATAAAATTGAATACGACTCATACGCTAAAGGTCGCTTTACATTTTGATTAGTATTAGTAACAAGTGCAGGTGTATAGTGTTAGTGTTCAGTTCTTGAATTGTAAACGGATCCGTCAGTGATTAGTGTTAAGTGATAAGTGCAAGCTACAAGTGCGAGTAAATCAAAATTGCGTTTTTTTTTTAGTAACACTCAACACATCAAGTTAATATTTTACATTTACACTTGTAGTTAACAAAATGTAAACCAGCCATAAGTCTAAAAGTTGTATGAGGGGTGATGATTTTTAAAAAGTTTCACTTTTACCACATGTACAGGGTGGGCCAATTTGGATACTTTTAATAGGAAACGTTAATTTCTGAGCGAGATAAAAAAAAAATGAACCCCCCACTCTAGGGTTCAAATTTCATAAAATCTTGATTGGTGCAAACCGCATTTTGATATCTTCAACCATTTAGCAGGTAGAGGGCAATTCTCGATTTTGAGCAATAATGTGAAACCTCCATAACTTTTTTATTTATGAAAATAATTGATTTCCGTAAAAACTTTCTAAAAGAACTTTTTGAAGCAGAATTCAGTGACATTCTCGATTTTTTCTAGTCCCAATTTCAAAATATTGACCAAAGTCCGTTTTTTTTTATAAGATACCCTATACAGGGTGTCCGGAAAATAGCGTAAAAGTTCTTCACTACGTGGTGGAGGACTCTTCAAGGAACCTCAGAAAAATAATCTGGTGACATTCCTAAAAAAGTTATTAGCATTTCAATGTTTATTAAAATTGGCAACACTGAAAATATCTCGTTGGCAATTTGTATTGGCAATTTATTACAGAATTGAATTGAATACCTGTGTAATTACCTGAAAAATTCGAAGGTGACTAAAAATTGTTGTCAGATAAATTTTTCCCGTTGTAATTTAGAGATTTTGCAATTTTCCTAATGTGTTTCAAAAGTTAACAACACATTTTTATAAACCACTATGTAATGAATAGACAAAAGATACTTAACACTTTGTACAAAATATTGTAATTTGAAAAAAAAAAAGCAAAAATAAGGAAGTTCACATTTACTTCTTCATATTTCCAAGAGTGGTCGAGGAGAATTTTTTCAATTATTTTTCCAGGGTTACTCAAAGGTTCCCCTATTACGTAGTGGAGAGCTTTTACGCTATTTTCTGGACACCCTGTATATTAATATTAATACCTTATTGGAAAGCTCCGCTTTTGGTGATTTCAATGATATAAAGGTTTATCTCGAATAGTTTTTGAGAAAAAAAATTATTTTAGTTTTTGTCATAAGAAACAATGTGTTAGAAAGAGACCTTTTTCATCAGATATAAAGTCTTTTTCTAACACATTGCTTCTTATGAAACCGAAACCGAAATAATTTTTTTTTCTCAGAAACGATTCGAGATAAACCTGTTTGTAATTTTCTTATGTTAAGTAACTTCAAACTATTTTGACCAGTAAAGAAATTCTTTATTAACTTTTTAATAAACAAATCAAAAACTTAAAACAAGTATTAACTCTTAATAAAAGAAATAGTTTTCTTTGTGCAAGTTTCACAATATAGATAAAGAAATGAAACGAGGTCTATATTGTCTCTACTGCAAAATAGTACTTACTGTCTTGGACGTCTCTTGCACACATTCCGTGAAACAGAAAATCTCGATCGATAACACAAAGGTCATTGACCCTTCGTAAGAAAGCACCCCAAGATTTACCCGCGTACAGCTCAAAAATAAAGAAAAAATATAGTGCGGGCGCAAACATACCCCCCAACTTGAAGACACCAAGCTTCAACACAAGACCTATAAGTAGAAGTCGAAAAGAAAGTCTAAAAAACACTTAATTTGTGATGCTTACGCATCGGGCAAAGGGCATATTTTTTGAAATCCGCGTTTCACCACACCCGAAGCAGTCTTTATCGTAGCCACCCTCGCAATGCCATCTTTTCCAGCGTGAATCTGGATAATTCTGCCAAGCTTCCAATGAGACGGGGACAGGTTATCCTCCTTCATGATGACCAACGTATTCTCCTTCAAGTTATTGGTTTCATTATACTTCCATTTGACGCGTTTCTGAAGTTCTGCTATGAATTCTTTACTCCATCGTTTCCAAAAGTGGAACTTCATTTGTTGAATTTGCTGATAAAGTGATAGTCTGTTTTGTGGAATCGAGCTAACGTCATACTCTGGCACAGAAGTAAGCGGTTTGCCGACAAGAAAATGAGCGGGTGTCAAAGGTAATAAGTCATCGGGTTCAGACGATAAAGGTGAAAGAGGTCTTGAATTGAGCACCGATTCAACCTGCACTAGAAGTGTATATAAACCCTCAAAAGTAAGATGTGTTTCCCCAATAACCCTTTTTAAATGATGCTTTGTGCTGCGAACACCAGACTCCCACAATCCACCAAAATGTGGAGAATAAGGTGGAATAAACTTCCAAGTTATGTTGATACTGGCAGCGTACTGTTCTATGCCCTCTTGATTTTCATTTAGAAATTTACCCAATTCGCGTAATTCCGAGCTCGCGGCAACGAAATTCTTACCATTATCTGAGAATATCATGGAGGGACAACCACGGCGACCACATAATCTACGCAATGCCATTACAAATGCATCCTTTGATAAATTGGATACCAGTTCCAAGTGTATGGCTTTTGTTACAAAGCACACGAATAAACATATATATGACTTGGAAAGACGACAGGAGCGACCAATTTTGCTTTTTACCAATATAGGACCAGCGTAGTCTACACCCACCACCTCAAACGGCTGCCGTGAGTTTAAACGTTCGCTGGGCAATTCTCCCATAATCGGAACAGAAGGTTTAGCGTTAAATCTGAAGCATTTTACACATTTATGGACAACTTGCCTGCACAGAGATCTGCCATTTACTGGCCAGTAATTATTGCGAACCGAAGCCAATAATTGCTGGGGACCACAATGCAATAAACGAATGTGTTCCTCTTCTAGTAATAATTTCGAAAGTCTGTGCTTTTCTGACAATATAACTGGGTGTTTCTTTTCAAATTTAAAATTAGATGCTCGAAGACGACCTCCGACTCGCAAAACGCCGCTGTCGTCTAAAAAAGGATTAAGATTCAAAATTTTACTGTCATGAAATAATGATTTATTACTTTTCAGTCTTGAAATTTCTTTCGGATAACTTTCGCTCTGAGAAATTTTGATTAAAACAGTAAATGCATTGTTTAATTCCAATACTGAAAGTATACCTATTTGGTGTTCGATTTTTGGTTTTTTAACTCTATTTTTCCATCTAAGCAGGTAAGCAACAACTGTTTTCAATTTAGTTAAACTAGAAAATTGATTTATTAAATCACACACAACGGTTTGATGAAAAATTAAAGTATCTTCCCCTTTACGCATGTCTGGCAAATCGTTAGACTGGAGATTGGAATTAGGCCAATCAGACTTGTCCTGCAATAGAAATGAAGGCCCAAACCACCAGAGGTTTAAACTTTGTATTTCGCTTGGTTTGGCACCACGAGAAAGAATATTTGCGGGGTTGCAATTGGTAGGGACATGGTTCCAAAAATATGTGGCAGTAAGTTGTTGTATCTCTGCCACTCTATTGCTTACGAACGACTTTAATCGACTGGGTTCAGTTTTTAGCCAACCCAGTACAACAGTGGAATCAGACCACAAACATTTTTCATCAAAAGACAAACTCAATGACTTAACAACTTCATCTGCCAACTTGGACAAAACAAAAGAAGCACACAACTCTAACCTTGGCATAGTAATTGTTTTAAGAGGTGAAATTTTGGATTTAGCACAAAGTAATCTGACGGTCACGTTGCCGTCCCTATCAACAGAGCGAATGTATATGCAACCACCATACGCCTTTTCTGACGCATCGGCGAAACCGTGCAATTCTATTTTTTGAGGATTATTGCATACTACATGTCTGCTGACTTCTAAGCTATTCAATAATGGAAGCTCATCTCTTAAAATAGTCCAGGCTGTGTGGAGAGACAAAGGAAGACTTTCATCCCACGAGAGTTTCTCTAACCAAAGTTTCTGTAATAGAATTTTCCCAATAATGATACATGGCGATAAAATTCCAAGAGGGTCGAAAACCTGCGAAATGCGTGATAAAATTTCACGTTTGGTGACTTGCTTGGTTGGATTTTTTGTGTTTATTTTATACATCAGTTTATCTGATGTCGGGTTCCAAATCAAACCTAACGTTTTCGAACTCTCATTTTCGCTCAAATTGACAATTTTCAAGTTGTCATCACTTCCTGGTATTTGACTCAGTACTTCGACACTGTTGGACACGAATTTTCTTAGGTTAAAGCAACCTTGACTTAAACTTTGTGAAACGCCATTGCATATGCGAACTGCTTCATCGATATTTTGACAGCTTGTCAACATATCGTCCACATAGAAATCTGATCTGATAATAGCGGCAAATTCGGGAAAAGTTTGTTCATTCTCCAACGCGAGTTGGAAAAGACAACGAATTGACAAAAACGATCCTGCTGTGGTTCCATATGTCACCGTTTGAAGCTCATACGTCTCAAGTGGTTCATCGGGATCACTTCGCCACAGTATACGCTGCAAAGGCAATTGCTCCTCAGTGATATTAACATTCCTATACATCTTCTCGATGTCTGCGGTAATTACAATCGGATGCTGCCGAAATCGTAGAAGAATCGAAAATAAATTTTGTTGTAGAATGGGACCGTTCATTTGTAAATGATTAAGAGAGTATCCAGAAGAACTAGGAGCACTGGCGTCAAACACAGTACGTAGTTTAGTAGTTAATGTATCATCGCGAAAAACTCCGTGATGTGGAAGATAATAGGTGACCTTGTTTGCTATTGATCCATTTTCCACTTTCTTCATGTGTCCCAATTTCAGATACTCGCTCATAAACTCGCAA